TCTGGAATCTCTTGTTATAAAAAGCTTGTAAAATCTGATTGCGCAGAGACTTCTTAGCAAAGTAAATCACCACATCTCTTGGCAAATTCTTCTGTTTCGCAATCCAAGAGTTAACTCTGTAAATTTTTTCCACTTCTCCACGTAATTCCTCTTTATCTATATTCAAAACAACAGCTAAATCATTAATCACCATCTCCATCAAATCTTGATTCATATCTTCTTTAAGACCCCTAATTATTATTCTGTTCAAAAAGCTCTTTCATTTCTTTCTTCATTTCCTCCTTACTTTCAGACTTGCTCTGTTCCAAAAGTTGCTTCACTTCCTCCCTAAATTGAGACACAGAATTTTCCATTATATCTTTAATGTCTTGTGCAGACGAGCCTGATGGGGGAGGAGAAGGTGGAGATGTAGCCTTAGGTTGCTGCACGGGTGGTGTAACTTTAAGTTGTTGTTGAACAGTTGCAATAACAGGAGAAGAAATCACCTTAGAAACTATAGAAGCTGGTTGTCTCTTTGAAGCCATTTTTTTAAGAAAAAACCAGGAAAAATGCAATAAAAATAAGAACCTCCAAAGCACTTTAAAAGGAAAAAGAAAAGAAACTTAAAAGAGAAAAAGAAAGCAATGCTAAGCATACATTTCATTCAGTCCGTCTTTTCTTTCCGGAGATAGAAAAAAAAAACTTTCAAAGCGCCATTTTACTTTCACTCTCACTTTCCACCCGAAGAAAAAAAAATAAAAAAAGAGTCAGCATAAGCTAAAAAAAGAATTAAGAAAAATAAATCTTTAACTCTAAGTAAAATCTTTTAAACAGTTCTGTCCGCTTTAAAAATCACTCACCAGCAAGCTTTAAATGCGGAGATGGTAGCGGCATTTCGCTTTGCTTCCGAGGAAACAAAGACAGCTGAGAGGCGGAGAAGGCACGAACTCCGAGGGAGCACTCTTTCTACCGCCCCTAAAAAAAAATCCAGGGAAGGTTAAGAGGTTCTACCTCTATTCATGCAGTCTCTACCCCTTCCCTTCGCCTGGGAAGGGGATTTCGAACCGCGGGCCAGCTGATGAGCGCTGTGCTCCGCAGATCTGACACCATCTCAGGAGGACGGCTACAAAGTAGCCGCCATCACCGTCGCCTGACCACCGGAAGTTCAACACTGGAAGTTTTTAAGAAGAGACTGGACAGCCATTTGTCCGAAATGGTATAGGTTTTCCTGCCTGAGTAGGGGGTTGGACTAGATGATCTCCAAGGTCCCTTCCAACTTTATTATTATTATTATTACTATTACTACTACTACTACTACTATTGTTGTTATTGTTGTTATTATTATTATTATTATTATTATTATTATAACATACCTCCCTGGATTGTATGTCTGGTCTACACATGGATGATTCTGTTCCTTTGAGGATACAATCTCCTATCACTAACACTTGCCTTCCTTTTGGGGGGGGTGTAGTCTGGGGTGCTTTTCTGTTTGTCTCAGGTGTGTTTTTTGATGTGGCTCTTTTAGGGATGTTTGGTGCTGTTTCTTTGCTAGGTGCCTGCATGTTTTCTTTGAGGGGGAGATTGTGGGTCTGCATATGGGTCATGGTTGCTCCAAATTGCTTTAAAAAAGCCCTTTAATCTGGATATCATATTGAAAGGGTGTTTCTCTTTTACAATTAAAAATCCTGTGCGCTCCATAGCCTACCAATTTTTATTTTTGTCATTTTTATTTTCTAAATAAAACATCCACAATTTTATATTGTAAGTGTTGTAGCTAAAGAGGAGCCTAATGCTTCACTTATGTTTTGTTTTTCAATTCATTATATTTTCCTAACAGAGGCTAAAGATGATTTTGTCTGTAAGTTATCTTGACTTAGATAAGCTTAATACTCTTTTTTATATCTTTTCCATGCTGTTCTTGTTCAATGGAACACACAATACAGTAGAAAAAGAACAATAGAAACTATAAACAATGAACACTATTTGTCCTAAGACAGTTAAAATTGTAAAAAACTTACAATGAACTTACAAGCACATTTAAAATACTAGCGAAAAAGAATTAGAGCAATTGTTATTTTGGAAATGTTGGAACCTAATAGTGCAGGAATTACTTAGTTTTCTCAGGAAAAGATTCTGTAATTGGGGTGTTTTTTCTCAAGCTTTTCTTCCACATTATGTGTCAAGCCTACCACATTATGTGTCAAGCCTACCAGTGGGACCATGAGTAGATACTCCCCAGCTCATAATGTGTTATTGGAGCAGTTAAAATTTTAAATACTAAAGTTATTTAGGCATTTATAGGGATTGAAAACATCTTAAATAGAGACTAATAGACAACCAATGCAATACTTTAATGATCAATATTACATGGTCTCATTTTACTTCTTTGGATGTAACCTTCAAATCATCTTCAAGGATAGCCCCAGGCATTTACAGTACCTAGTTCTCTATTGAAAAGTATCATTTATTTACATGTCTGTCATATAGGAAAGTAGAGCATGCAGAGAATGGCATCTTCTTTCCACCAATAGAAGATGTTGATATTCTGTGTAATGATATGTTACATATCTGTTTGTTTTTGCTTTTTCTTTATGTTATACTATATGTGTGTGGATTATTATGTATATGTACATTGAGAAGTAATTGAGCATTGAACTTCACACCAACATTCCAACATACAGGGTTACAGTAAGAGAATGTTTTGTCTCAGCAGATATAGCCTATTTCTGAAGTTGATTTTCTTTTGCTGGCTTTCACTCTAACTGCTCATTTGTTCTTGTTCTATTTAGTTTTTGAACAATAATCCTATTGATGGAATTAGCCAAATAGACAGGCAGGGAAAGCTTTGAGCGTCATTACATATTTTTTTTCCACTACTCTTTTGCATTGGGAAGATAAAAACATACTTGTGGACATAATGTTGTCTAACAGTTGACAAATGGACAATAGTTGGAATAAGCACACAGATTACATGGTATGCATATATTTCCCTTGCTTTTATTTTTAAAATAAAATCTAGAATTGGAACATTTTTAAGTAGTAAAAATTTCAGTTTTATTTTCTGTATAAAGGTTTGAAACTTTGCTTTCTATTCTGCATTTTGGCATGTTTATTGTTTTAAACCCCAGGCATCTAGAAGGGGTTGGAATCCCTCAGATTGCTAATTTTGATTTTAATATCGAAGCATGTTTGTAAGCAAATATGTTTATGTCAAAATCACATTTCTTTGCAAAGAATTGTTGGCAGTGGGTGAAACCAGAGTTAAACATGATTAGATCTACAGGATCCATTCTGGGTCGGTCACTGGTACCAGAGGTTTAGTCTTGCGAGTTCTTGAGTCATGCTGAGCCCATCCTCAAGGAATTTCTCTCTCACTAGAATGTGTGGTGAGAGACAAGTTTCCCAAGAATAGGCTTCAGCACAAGCCTGAAAGCTCAGAAGACTAAACCTCTGGTCCTGATGATTGACCCATATTGGATCCTATAACATTATCCTGAGAGATGTATATTCACCTGATCATATCTTCCTCAGTTACTTATTTCTAGACTGAAGGGAGATGTAACATTGACAAGCATGGAATTGTCTGAAGCATGTAAAAAACAAGATAGAAGTCTGGCCCAGTTTTAGCAGAAAGAATGAGGTGCAAGAGAGGAATCCTAGAACAATTTTTATGCTAGGAATTTTGTATATCTCCCCCTCCATTTTCTTTCCCTATCAGTTGACTTATGTAATGAAGTAATTAGAAACCACAGAGAATTTTGTATGTAATAATTGGTATATTTGGCAATTGATAATTGTATTCTGTTATTCTAAAAAGCATACAATATGCAGGTAGTCCTTAATTAACAATGCCTAGCAACCATTTGAAGTTATGATGGTGCTGTAAAAATAATTTTACAGCTGGTCATCAAACTTAACCACAATCACAAATGATGGCAATTTGGATGCTGGACAACCAATATGAATGTATGACTAGTGCAGTGTTTCGCAATCATGTCATCATTTTTGAGCTCTAAGCTAGTTTCTGACAGTCAATAGAAAAGCCAGCAGTAAAATTGTAAGTCATATCTCACTTAAAAACCGCAAATGATTTTTTTAATGGCCAAGTTGCTTAGTGATAGGGTTGCCAGTCCCAGTTGTGATTGTTAAGTGAGGATTACAATACCTGTATTATTTTTAAAGAAGATGCTGTTTGTGTTTCAGACTTCTGGGAAATTATGACTTTTAATCCTAAGCACTTTGCCACTCACTTCATTTCTCCTATCATAAAATGTTCCCGTTTTAAAAAAATTAACTATGTAAAATATTATATTATCCTCTGATTTATCACTTTAGAAATGTGATAAATGGTCAAAATATTATGTGGTAATTACATTAAAAATAGGCAATGTAAATAATGCAAGGTATCATAAGACATTAAATCCATATGCTAATCACTTTAAGGATAACAAATTTGAATTAGTGATTTTGCATGTAAAATATTTTTTGAATACTTGGATTTATGAGAACTCTTAGAAAATTTTATTTCAGTAATTGAAATGTATTAAAGTAAAGCTTTTGAAATGACAGTCTTATTTTGTTTTATATTTTTAGTATATTATCACATACGCTATGAAATCTTGCCCATGTATATTTTTTAGCAGTTTCATATTTTCATTTATTCCATAAAATAGTTGGATGTCAAGTATAACAGTAGATTCATAGATTCATAGACAGTCTAATAGAGATTTCCAAAACAATTAGCAAATACAATATGTGCCTTCTTTGAAAAAGAGGAAAATATCCTTGCCTTTACAGAAAAAAAGTAGCAGAACTTTCTCATCTCAGTTGGGAAATCAGATGTTTCCTCAAATCAAATCTCTTTGAGTTTTCATTAGTTATGAAGGCAGTAAAAGACAAAAAATACAGTAATTTTACTAAGTATGGACATTTTAGCAATACTAAATGAATTCCAGATCAGTCTTACCCATTTTACAGTTATTTATATGTTGTGTAATATATTATTTTTTCATTAATAGATTGAATGCTGCAGACTGACATCAAATTGGTGAGCCCACTAAAAATAGAAGCAGTTTTGAACATTTGATATTTGTGTCCACTGTCCATCACCACTTCAGTAACAATGAGTTTCACAGTACAAGGTTAGTCTTTTAAGTTTTTAAGTTCCTGCTGCTGAGATTAGTATTTATGTCATAATCCTAATGAGTCAAATGATTAGAGAATTAAACGTGAACACTGTTTGATTTACTTCTAAGTTAGAAGCAAAGTTAGAAATATATGTATCTCATGCTGATTTTATATTTTCATCTGTTTCATTTTATTATGATAGAATTACATAAGAACAGCATCTCATGAATAAAATATCACTAGTCAGCATAGGTGTTTTGTATTCCAGAATAGAATAGAATAGAATAGAATAGAATAGAATAGAATAGAATAGAATAGAATAGAATAGAATAGAATAGAATAGAATAGAATAGAAAACTTGTTTGGCCCTGTGATTAGACACAAGGATTATGTTTATCTCTGTGAAATATTAATATCCAACCTTTTTGTTTTAATCTGTAATATGCATTTTTGAATGTGTTTTATTAGTTTCAGTTTTTCTTTGAATGAAACTGAAATGCCTTTGTTGTTTTTTCAGTATGTACACAAAGCAATTTATGCGCACAAGAAGATCACGATATACAGTAGTAGATCACATGTATTCAGAACTTTGCTGCATGGATTATTTTTCTTTCACACACAATAATAAGGTCTATCCTTATTAACACCTGGGGTAGCATATACCTGGCAGTGCCACCTGCTGAGATATCCAGTTTTCAGACTTAAGTTCTATAAATATACACACATTTTATAGAATAATATTATCTTTAAAGTAATTTACCAAAAAATTCTGGAGAAAAAGTGCAATTGATAATGAAGTTATATGACTCTAGCCAAAGTCTATGAGAATATGAAAAAGGCTTGTTTTTTAAAAGTAATTATTCAATTATACAATAATTATTCCATTATTTAATGAAGATAAATAGATGAACAGAAGAAAACGAGAAGAATATATGCTTATAACGAACAGTAAGTAATCTTTAGTACAGCAAACTGAAATGCAGTCAAATATAGTACATTGGTGAAATTTTTATCAACTTACAATAATATATTTATGTCTAAACAATATTTTAACATAAAATAGGTTGAAATTTAACTGATCTGTTTTTCCTAAAATGAGGGAGAAACGTATTTCATTTTTTCAAAATAATTTTATTAAGAAGTCTAAATGAAAAGAATAAAAATTAATACAAACTATAAAAAATAGAAACTACAAATAGAAAAATACCAGAAAAAGAAAAAGAAAAGGGGGTGACAGGTTAAAAAAAGAAAGGAAAAGACAAAGAACTAACTTCTTCATTCCAACAGATAAAACAATTTTAGAAGCTTATCACCATCTCTAAATAAGAGATCTTTTCCCCATAGCTCACCTTTTAATTAAAAAAAAATGAGTCCAAATGGCATGAAAATGAATGTCAGCAAAAATCCAGAAAAAAACAACCAGATATAACAATTCTTTTCTTTAACTCTGAGGAAACAAGCCAATCTTAATACTTTTCATTAGTATTTAAAATTATGTTTAATCCCTTCAAAAAAGTCCCATACATAGTTTGCTCATAGTTTTGTTTCAAAGCAAAAATCCTTAAGAATTTTAATCAATTTCTTTAGTATCAATAAATAAAAATTATCCTTTTCTTTGTCACTTCTAAAAAAGTTCTCAAATCAAAACAATCTCCATTTTCCCATGAGAAAATATTTCTAAATAACTAAAAAATATTGTTAACTTTCTAAAATTCTTATAGTATTTTGCTATACAGTCCAAAATTGTAAATTTAAAAAACTTTTAAAATCAAATTTACACTATTGTCTTTAAAGTAGATGAAAAATTATCCAATCAATAAAATCGTGCCAGTCTGAAGAATCTTAATCTTTCCAATATATACCAGCTTGGATTCAGAATTCCCTTTGTAAAAGTTGGTTAGTTGACAAAAGCCAACAAGATGTCAGCTCACCATAGCACTCATACAAAATTTATAGTTCATTTTTTAATGCATTTTAATATTTTACATTTGAAACAAATCAATTTAAATTGTGTTTCCAAGACTGATATATGTACAAAAATTCAATTACCATTCATTTTTTTCACTTTTTGTTATGGTGGAAAATGTGTTTAGTCCCTTCTTGTTTCAAACTCTTTATTATCATCCTGGTGCCCAGGAAACACTCCAAAGCAATAGCATAGCACTTAGACTTATATACCGCTTTACAGCCCTCATTAAGCAGTTTACAGAATCAGCATATTGACCCCAAGAATCTGGGTCCTTATTTTACCGACCTAGGAAGGATGGAAGGCTGAGTCAACCTTGAACCAATGAGAATCGAACTGCTGAACTGCTGGCAGTCAAAAGTCAGCAGTATTAGCCTGCGGTTCTGCATTCTAACCACTGTGTCATCATGGGTCTTGCATAGGTCAATCAAGGAGCTGAATGACTACAGATTAGTTGCTCTGACCTTTGTAGTTATGAAAACCTTTGAAAGGTTAGTGTTGGGCCACCTGAAAATCATCATGGATCTACTGCTAGACCCTTTGCAATTTGTCTACTATGCAAATAGATCAGCGGATGATGCTGTTAACGTGGCACTGCATTACATCTTACAACATCTTGAATTCCCAAGGACCTAAATAAAGGTCCTTTTTATAGAGTTCAGCTTGGCTGTGTGGTCTTTCCATTACTCTATTTCTCTTTGTACCAATAATTGCATCTCAAAAGATCCCTTTGTTAAGATACTGAAGTTTGCAGATGATACAGCCACTGGTCTCATTTTAGGATGCTTATATATCTGCATACAGACAAGAGGTTAAACAACTGGGCTTGTTGTGCAGCCAGAACAATCTGGAGCTGAACACAGTTAAAACTATAGAGATAATAATGGATTTTAGGATGAGCCCTCCTATTCTACCACCTCTTACAATATTAGACACTATTAACAGTAAAGACATTCAGGTTTCTGAGTTCTATAATCTTCCAGGACTTAAAATGGACACTTAAAATTAGAACCATCATTAAAAAAGCATAACAAAGAATGTACTTCCTACCACAGAAAGTTCCTACTGCCCTACTGTTCTTCAGAGGAATTATTTGAATCTATCATTTGTACTTCTATAACTGTCTAGTTTGGTACAGCAACCAAATAGGACAAGTACAGACTTCAACAGATAGTTAAGGCTGCAGAAAAACCATTGCAACTGGCCTACCTTCCATTGAGGACCTGTATACTATAAGAGCCAGAAAAAGGGCTGAAAAAATATCCTCATAGCTTGGACATAAACTGTTCCAGCTCTTCCCCTTGGGACACCACTATTGGACATTGCATGCCAAAACAACTAGAGACAGAGACATTTTTTTCCTTCATGCCATCACACTACTAAAACCTAATCCCCATAGCACTGCATTATGCCTAAGGATATTTACTTATTTAGTAGGGCTTATTATTCTTGTCATCTTTCCTATTACCTTCTACTACTGGTATCTTATGATTATGTTACTTTATTGTTTGTATGTAAACTTAGAGCTTATTCGTCAGAGATAAATGCTTTGCGGGTCCAATCACACTTGGCCAATAAAGAATATTGTATTCAAAAAGTGTACATTTGAGAAATTGAGAGAAAATATAGTACAAATATAGTCAAATTAATTAATATGTACAAATATAGTCAGAATAAAAAATGGCAAGGAAATCATAAACAGGATATATTGCATGTATATTTATGGAGTTTATGTAGATAGATAGATAGATAGATAGATAGATAGATAGATAGATAGATAGATAGATAGATAGATAGATAGATTCCTTATTCCTGTATTCCTTAATTTATAAACAGTTTTATAATTCTACTATTATACCCTTGATTAAGTAAATAAATTAAAAAACAGACATTAAAGAAATATCTGTTAGGCAAACATAGTATCAGGGACTAAGCAAAAGAAAAACCTGTTTAAGAACAATAGCAAGATAATTTAATCATTACTTCATCTCTTTTGAATTTAAGAATGTTCTACAACTGAGATTTGCCAAAGTAATCTTGCTAAATCCACTGAGCTGCACTTGCTTATATAATTACATCTAGAAAAACAAAGGTTAAGCATAATCCCAAATTTTGCATGTTTACAACAATATTATTTTCATTCAGTGAATTGTATGTGGGAGTGTAGGAGAGAAAGGAAGTATCACAGTATGTGTCAAAATGGACTGGCAGTTTTAGAAACCTAGATTTTGGACCATATGTTACAATTATTAAAAAGAAATTCTAAATCATTCTAGCTGTATTTCTTAGCAATGAAAACCTTGTCATAATTTTAAGTTTGTTTATTAATTTATATAGGTGCTGTTCACATAAATATCACATAGTTTGGCTACAATTTCATGATGTTACATTTCACTCAGTTTTTTCAAACTTGAGAATTAATCTGTTTTTTCAATAGGGAACCCAAGATTATCTCAGTTTTTATTTTTAACTATTGTCTCTGTGTGTGCATGTATGTATGTGTGTGTGAGAGAAAGAGGGTATATCTCATGGTATAGAATCCATCATGTAATCAAATTATTCATATTCTGCAGGTAGAATTATATTTGTTTTGTTACTCTTTCATGTATAGTCTAAAATGAAGAATGAAAAACATGTAAATAGTTTCAACTAAATGTTTACATAAAGTTTTTGAAATATGGGATAAAATTGAAACATAGCAGCTATACATCAAATAAAAATTTTACTGATACAAATTCTGAGATTGGAAGATTGGAGAAAAAAACTGAATCCAGTTTTAGATTTTAGATTTTTCTTGGCTTTCTTTTCAAAATAACTGTATAAGGTAGACTGAGAATGAATTATAAGCATAATAATGTCCAGAAGGAGTGCAGAATGATGAGTTCAATCCAGCTCTCTTTGGACTCAGCACAGCCCTGTTACTTATAGACTCTTGGCATTCAGAAAGCAAACTTTTGGTTTCAGAATCACTGAATTCCAGTGATAGTGTTAAAGTTGCTTCCTTAATGCTAGAAAATTTGGTTGCCATTATGTGAAATAGAATAGTAA